TGTGGTGGTGAGGATTGAACCCGGGCCGCACGCATGCCAGGCGAGCGCGCTACCGCTTCAGCCACATCCCCAGCCCTTAACTAGGTTTTATCAAAACATTTAGATCAGATTTTACACACACACACACACACACACAGGTATGTGATTGCTTATATTTAAAATTTAGTAAAATCAGTGCATTTATCTGAATTACCTTCTCTGATATATACTCCCTGTCAGAGACATAAAACGGGTTTCATCAGCATTAGACAGTTTTACTTTCAGAAAAAGGTTCACTATGAAAATCTCAGATTGCTGGATGTGAATAATCCATAAAGCTCCATTTTGCTGTCCAATTTCTCCCTATTTTTTGAAGATACCTGGGGTTTGGTTTTGCTTTTTGAACGTTACACAGTCCATTTTATGTATATGATTTGAGTTCTCACAAATATACCTTGTGTAATCACCAAATATACAGAACATTTCCCTCACTCCTAAAGTCTATTCCTATACATCTGAAGTCAACCTCCCTATCCCTTCTAGATTAAGGGCAATCACTGTTCTGCTTACCAGTGGAGTTTTGCCTTTTCTAGAACTTCATGTAAATGAAATCATAATTATACTCCTTTATGCCTGATTTCTTTCACTTAGCATAATGTTTGACATCCATCCATGTTGTGTTTATCATTAGGGTTTTGGGTTTTTTTTAATTGCTTTCATGGCTTTTTAAAACTTTGGGGTCTAATAGATTTGGACAAAGCCTCAAGAAAGTAGTTTTAGGCCTACAGACCACATCAGCTACTAGCATATGTCTATTAAAGGTTTAATAAGGTAAAAGAATTCCTGCCCTTGCCCAGAACACTAAATTTTTTTCAGCTAATGTTGCTGAGACCAGAGAGAGTTCATGTTTCCAATTTATCTACCTGAATAATAAAACAAATATCTGGGACTTTATCATGATTTTATGCTTGGTCATTTTTCTACAAGATTGATTTCAAACACAGAGAGAAATCACCTTTTTAACGTCAGCAAAGCAGCCCAGGAATAAACAACTGCTCTTCCTATCCCAGTAGTTTTTCAATTATGAATGAAAATGAAAAAGTTCAGGGCTACATGTTTTACTTCTAGATGTTCTTTGTCCTCTTCTCCCACCAGATAAACAGACCTAGATTGCAAATAGGTCAATTAGGAAGGGAAAGAAAAAGAAAAATCAGTCAGCAAAGGTTAAGAAGCTCCTAGAGGAAATTTTATTTATAGGCTTGACTGTCCAACCATTTTAGTGCTGTTATTTTTAAGCATTTCATGGAATGTAACAGAATATGACTTAATGTATATCCCAGTCCTAATATGCACAGGAGAGAATTTGTCCTGGAATATGGTTGTCAAATGTGTCTAGAATATTTCATAAAAGAATGGTTCTCATAATTATATAGACATTTCAGTTCCCAAGTCACCAGTATTCCTGGGACAGAATAATATCAGAAGAATTATGGTTTCTGCTCCAGATTACATGAATTGGAATGATGTTAATAAAAATTAGGTGGATTGGGATATGAAGATGGTTTGGGAGCAGAGTTGCAATTTTTGGTTACATTGTATTTGAAGAGATGTAGCATCTCTTGATGTAGACGTAGCATCTCCTGGGACAACAACTCAAAACACACAACACAGATCTCTTGCTTGGTACAATTAGCCCATACATCAATATGGTCTTAAACAAGGAGACTTCTCAAAATAAGATAATTTGTAACTATTAATAACTCTCCCTTCAGGAAATTTTCTTTACTCATGCTGACTTTCATAACATTTGCAATCATTTGTGTTCATTTTTCCTTCAGATTCTTTCTAAAGATGGTCACGGACCCCAAATAATATAATAATTAACCTTTAACCTGAAACATATTATCTGCCTTCTGCAATCACTTCCTCAGCTATCACTTTTATAATTAATTCTTGGATGAATTTTAGCCTAGATTCTAAACATTGTTTGGTTATGCTACATCTCTTCAAATATAATGTAACCAAAAATCTCAACTTTGCATCCAAACCATCTTCATATCCCAATACCCCTAATTTGTATTAACAGCATTCCAATTCATGTAATCTGGAGCAGAAACCATAATTCTTCTGATATAAATCCAACACTTTATTAAGTCAACATGTTCCATCAATCTTGCTTGAAAGTGTTTCATCCTACCCTCCTAGTTTCGAGCATCATCACCTAATGTACTGATTATCTACCTGCCACCAAGTTAGTCTCCCTGACTAATCTCTCCTTCCTCTAATTCACCCTGCTGATTATCCCCAGCTTGACTGCCCCAAAACACACTGTTCCAACAAGATGTAATGGCTTTTTCAATCCCTGCAAAACAGTAAATATAAAATATCTACTCTGTATTTACTTATTAGGAAACTTCCTCTCTCATCTGCAATACCTAGGCCCTGCCTCGTTCAAGTAAATCATGCTCATTCCTACCCTCATAGTCAATTTGTCTTAATTTAGCTGACCCAATTTTTCAAGGTGCCTATGAAACACTTCTTTCTCCTTCATACAATTCCCAACCCTTCATCTCACCATTTCACCGCTCCTATTCAATCACTTACATTCTTTTTAACATTCATGCCCTCCAACCCCAACTTGTGACCTTGGCACCTAGCAAGTACTGAATAATACATGCTAACTTAAAAGATACTTCTTCAGGAAAGGATACCCTGCTGGGCAAGGTGGCAGACACCTGTAATCCCAGCAGCTCAGGAGGCTGAGGCAGGAGGATCATGAGTTCAAAGCCAACCTCAGCAACAGCAAGCCACTAAGCAGCTCAGTGAGACCCTGTCTCTAAATAAAATACAAAATAGGGCTGGGATGTGGCTCAGTGGTCCAGTACCCCCTGGTTCAATCCCTGGTACTCCTCCCCCGAAAAAAAAGGATATCCTAGTCAGCTATTCCAACATTCCCAGAAATAATAAATTGGCAGAGATCTAAGGATCTATTGCAACACTGATTAACCTCTATCATATACTGTAACATTTAATAAATACAAAAAGTACTTGATTTCCAGCAATTTTACATTTAGTGATTCACATTTAAAGCACCCAGCCAACTACACCCATTTAGAGCAGACAGAGGGCACACTAATGAATTTATTTCACTCCATTTGTTTCTTAATTATAAAGCAGTTCTTATGCCCTTAGCCTACCCCTGAAACATTTTTTGAGAACATCTATGACTCTAGACCAGAATTCATGCAGCCTTGGCTCTTCCCAGGAGTATTGAGGCGTGGAGTGAACAAAAGATCAGCAAGATTAAGCAGAAAAAACTAAAGAAGTTATAAAGGAAAAGAAATAAACACAAAGAATTTTTTAAATATAACATAATCACACATAGCCCTAAATATTACCATCCAGGTACTATCCTTTCAAACATTCACTTTAATGTAAATATTTTGGGATTAGAATTGCCTTTAGGTTAAAATCTTTAATTAGTATCATACCTTTATAGATACACAATCTAATTCCTAAAAACTCATAAACACAATTAATAAGAACAAATACATGAGTGTGGTGGCACAAGCCTTTAGTCTCAGCTACTTAGGAGATTGAGGCCAAATAATCTGAACTTTGAGTGCCAATCTGGGCAATTTAGCAAGATCCTATCTCAAGACAATAAAAAAGGCTATGGATATAACTCAGTGGTAGAGTGTTGGCCTACTCCAATTACAGGCCCTGAGTTCTATCCCCAGTAACACAAAAAGAGATGAAAGGAGGAAGAAAAAAAGGAGGGAGGAAGGAAGGAAGGGATACAACCTAATGGCTAAGTAATTTCACATTTATGCCTGTAAGATTTGGTCATTTTTTAAAAATCAGGAAAATAGAAAATAAGGCAGGGCTGGGGATGTGACTCAAGCGGTAGCGCGCTTGCCTGGCATGCGTGCGGCCCGGGTTCGATCCTCAGCACCACATACAAACAAAGATGTTGTGTCCACCGAAAACTAAAAAATAAATATTAAAAAAATTCTGTCTCTCTCTCTCTCCTCTATCTTTAAAAAAAAAAAAAAAAAAAGTTTGAAAATAAGGCAAACATAATGAATTACAGTAGGTGGGGTAGAGGGAGAAGATGGGAGGGGAGGGGAGGGAAGGGGGGATAGTAGAGGATAGGAAAGGTAGCAGAATACAACAGTTACTAATAGGGCATTATGTAAAAATGTGGATGTGTAACCGATGTGATTCTGCAATCTGTATTTGGGTTAAAAATGGGAGTTCATAACCCACTTGAATCTAATATATGAAATATGATATGTCAAGAGCTTTTTTGTAATGTTTTGAACAACCAATAAAAATTTTAAAAAATAAAAAAAAAAAAAGAAAATAAGGCAAACAACAATGACAAACATCCAGAAAGAGAAATTTAAGTGACCAATAAGAGAATGTTACTGGCCCTCACAAGTAATAGGAAAATGCAAAGTTAGGTCAAAATGAAATACCATTTTCACCACTGACTGGTGAGGCAATGGGTGGGAGTGAGCAACTTAATGAGACACTGTCTCAAAAGAAAATAAAAAGCTCAGAGTCAAGCACTCCTGGCTATAATTCTAGTATCAAAAATCAGGAAGGAGGGGGCTGGGGTTGTGGCTCAGTGGCAGAGTACTTTGCCTAGCATGTATAAGGTATTGGGTTCAATCCTCAGAACCACATATAAATACATTAATTAATTAATTAAAAGTCCACTGCCAACTAAATAAATAAATAAATAAAGGTCTATCCACATCTTAAAAAAACCAAAACAAACCCAGGAAGGAGATGTAGCTCGGTAGTAGAATGCTTGCCTAGCATGAACAGGGCCCTGGATTTGATCCCCTGTTCTGAAGAGGTACATGAAGGCACAGGCTGAATTTAACCAATGGGTTGCATGTAGTTTGATGACCCCTGTCAAGACCCATTTGCAGAAAGAAATCAGTAATTCATTAAATCAAAGTCTGAAGGGAGAATGGATTCACATAGAAACAAAATATGCCTCAGATTACCTGGTAATCACAAGGGAAAATGTTCCTTCTCAATGGAGACATTCAGCAGTCACCACAAGTAAACCAATGATCAAAACTTAGCACTGCTAACAGTGCCAAAGTCAGGTATTTTGTGCTTCCTGCAGCAATGGAATATGAAGCAGCACCACCTATGAAATATGCAGCCAAAAAGTTTAACATGAATTTAATAGTCATTACATTATCTTAACAGTTTACAGAAGGCAAAGACTAAGTTTTCTTTCTTTCTTTTTGCAGTACTGAAAATTGAACCCAGGGTCTCATGCTCGCTACATAAAGGACTCTACCACTGAGCCATATCCCTGGCCCTACAGAGTAAGTTTTAAACAAAATCTCAAACAAACAAAATTCTTAATAGAGAACATTTTAAAAGATAATGTATCTCTACCAAAAGAAAGATTTTTTTTAATTAGCTATTAAAATTTGAAAGAGACCCAACAAATAGAACTGGGACATAAGGCAGTGGTTCAATCCCCACTATCAAAATAAAGAAAACTTTACCAGTATCTGTTAAGATACTTCATTGCACATTCTTCATGAGACAATAACCCCTCTTAATATCTTTCAAGTATACTCCTGAAGCTAATATTATCCAGCATTTCCCAAACTTTTTAGCCAGTCCACCTGACAACCAATTAAATATCACATTTATTTTTACCTTATTAGATCATTTTCATCTGCCTTAAAAATCTGGGGTTAATGTGATTCCAGGCCACTCTCTAGAACCACTTATCTCTTACTCCTTTGTATTCAAAATATGCTTTGTACTTGACTTGGTCATTTGGCCACGAACTATAAATTGGACAAAAAAACACAAAGACCCAACTACACAAACTCACCCTCAATAGGCTGATCATAAAATCTGAAAACATAGGTATTATTTTAATATATCCTATAATAAGACCAATAACCAATTTATTGTGTATCCATCTGTTTCCAAATTTGATGACAACCCTGTACTTAAATAAAAATCAAGTAAGCAAAGCCAGAGGCAGAAAAGTCAACAGAAAGCAAAAACTCAAGAGAATAACCAGAACAAAAACATAACTCTGTCTCTAAGAAAAAGATTCAAGATATATGGTAAGCAGAATTATGTAATCTAAATCATCTCTGATCTTCCAAACCTATATTGTCTTTACAAACTAGTTAATAAAACAAAAATCTAAAAAAGGAGAGACTATAACTGAAAATTTACATATTAAGCTACAAAATTTGTTTCATTTTTATATTTTTATTCAAACTACTCCAGAATAGATGAACAGAAAAAAATAAACTTAGTTTTCTCAAGTGTAGAATCATCAAACACCAAAACTGTAATAAAATTTCAAAATTCTATTAACCAAATCAATTATATGGGGTTAGGGGAGTAGCTCAGTCTTACAGTACACATTTAGTATGCTGGAAGGTCTTGGTTCAATCCTCAGCACCAAAAATAAAAATAAAAAAATGTAACTAGTAATCGGAAGGCTTATTGGGCAATAAATGAAAACTCTTAGATCATGACTAGAACTTAGGTTAGTTTTTATATTGGAGCACTACAATGAATACAAAACAATTTGCTTTAAAATAAAAAATCCAATTGATTCACTGCAGCAATCGAATTACATAAAACTCTCAACAAATGAAAGCAAAAGATTATCAAGAATTAAAACAAAGATCAGCGGGACACAGTGGTAGGCACTTGTAATCCTAGCAGTTCAGGAGGCTGAGGCAGGACTACTTCAAGTTCAAAGCCAGCCTCAGCAACTTAATGAGGTCCTAAGCAACTTGGGGAAACCCTGTCTCAAAGTAAAAAATAAAAAGGGCTGGGGATGTGGCTCAGGCGCCTCTGAGTTCAATCTGAGTACCACCTTTAAAAAAAAAAAAAAAGGTCAAAGACTTCACGCTTATTTAAGTGTGCAGTGTTAGTGTAAACTCAAAGAAACATCTTTACCAAACTATCATTCAGAAAGCTGAAACTAAGCACTAGCTTCAAAAATAAGTTCATCAAGACTATCTCATGCAAAAACTTACAGGAAAATCAAAGTCATAACCTCGAGTAATATACCACAGCTCTAGAATTCAGAGAAGCAGTGAAAAATATACAATCTGAGCACAGTAAACCAAGAAACAAATTGATTCGATCAACCATCATTTATCAGAATTGACAACAGGAGAACAAAAGTAGCAGTCACAAGTCAGTAGCAGTATTACCAGATACTATTGGTCAATCACTAATCTCTCAGTTATTTTCACAGAATATTTCACAGAAACAACAGGATCTTTTCAAACACAAATGACAACATATATTTTACATCCCAGACCATTACTTATTTTGGTTTTGAGCTTGAACTCAGGGCCTCACACTCTCTACCACTGAGCTACACCCCAACCCTCCTCACCAAGTTATTTAAACCAGATCTACTGTAAGTTCTTTACATCTTTCTCCCATTATCCCACCTTTTATCTCATGCTCATTTCCAGATATTCATCTATCAAGGATTGGATAGAGGATGTGAGGGTCAATTGGCTGCAACATCTGTCACCCCACTGATTGCCAGGGTTGATTTGGCTCTCTCGGTGGGTGTCCCCTTCCTCCCTCACAGCTCCATGTGAGTCCCTCCTGAAGCCACACATTCAGTGGAAGAGGACAACCTTCCTTGATAAAGGAAGAAATGTTCTTAAGTTAAGGGTATGGGAGTAGGTGCTGGAACCCCCCCCCCAAACAAACCAACAGAAACATGTGAAGCCTCCAAATGCCTCATGCCTGCTTTTCTCTATTTTGGCTCCCTTTTAATGTGAAATAAATATCTTTCTTTAAATATATTAGTATTTTACCCTTTCTTCCTAACATATTCTAGATTTTTCTTTGTGCCCCCACCTCACCCCCTGCCCAATTACAGAAAAATTCCTCTTCCTTTTCTTTTGTTAAAAGGAGTAAAGTTCAGCAAGGTGTGGCAGGGCATACCTGAGTCCCAGTTACTGGGGAGGAATCACAGCTTTAAATGTAGTGTAGAAAACATACATTCCAAAATGTACCTACTCCCACTCAACGTTTTAAACCAGTCACAAAGGGAACTCAGCTGTAATGTAAACTGGGGAAGTGTTGGTAACCAAAATTTAAGATCTTTGAGGACAGTACTTTGTCTCTTTTGTTCAGATTTCAGCCTGAAATAGTGCCTTGCATACCAAAGACAGACAGTGAATGCAACAGTAAGGGGAGTTGGGGGATAAATACTATTAGACTGTTCTGAATTTCTTACTTCTCAGTAGGTTGAAGCTTGGAGTAAACAAGAGTTACAAAAAACCTCCCAAATCTAAACTTGATCTATATATTCTGTCATTTGGAGTTGTTTTGAATTAAACTATTTCCTCTTTTGAGTGAACTACAAAGAGCCACTTGTGTTTAAGAGATAATACCAGTTCTTTACCTCAGAGGTGAATGCTTTAGTCAGAAAAGAGGGGGAAAACACTGCCAGGATAAGCACCCATGAGTAATACCGACACTCCTAGATTCTCCTACTCATAAGAACCTACTCCCCCTTCCCCTGGTACTAGGGATTGAACCCAGCCTCACTCTACCACTGAGCTACACACCCTCAGCCCTTTCTATTTTAAAATAAGGTCTCACTAAGTTGCCCAGGGTGACCTTGAACTTGCAACCCTCCTGCCTCATCCTCCAAAGGAGCTAGGATTACAGGTGTGTAGCACTTCACCTGGCATGAGAACATCTATTAAGAACATCTACAGGGTGCAGTGACACATGCCTATAATCCCAGTGACTTGGGAGGCTAAAATAGGAAGATTGCCAGTCTCAGCAATTTAGCTAGGCCCTACATAACATAGGGAGACCTTGTCTCAAAATAAAAAAATAAAAAGGCTGGGGATGTGGCTCAGTGGTTAAGCACCTCTGGATTCAATCACCCATATTAAAAAAAAAAAAAAAAAAAATCTATTAACCACCCTTTTCAAGTGTTTGAAATGGTCCTGATATCTCCATCAAGAAAATAAGGCAATTAGATTTAAAAAACAATGACAATACTCTTAAACTTAAAAAGTGCTTTGAAATCTGTCAGACCCTTAATTAATCTACATATCCTTTGCCAAACCTGCTTCATCTCAGGTATGTACCACCTATCAAACACAACTGATATACTTGTTTTATTTTATACCACAAATTTGATTTTACCTGATTACCTAACCACATTTTAATAGTTTTCCATGAAAGAAAAAGTTTTCCTTATTTCTATCATACAATGTACCTTTCAAACTATTCTGAAATGGACACTCTATGCAGACAAAAATGACATAATCCTAAAGACAAATGTTATTCTCCCTGAATAGCACTAAAATTGGTCCCTTCTCTATAAGTTCCTTATAATCAATAGATAGCTTCCAATGTTCTCTCCTCTAAGCATATTTGGCAGGATCTTCTTTCATTACAAAGATGTAAAACTAAGTTTCCAAGTAGTGGTATTTCTCAACTTCAAAATTTAAATTTTTAAGAATTAAGGTGTCAATAAATATAATCTTGATATTTCAATACACTCCAAAAGAAAACTTTGAACCCATCTTATTTTCAGCAAGTTAATATTAACTATTTGACATGTTGGGGCTGGGGATGTAGCTCAGCGGTAAAGCACATGGGGGCAAGGCCAAGAGCTGGATCCCCAGCAACACAATACAAAAGTATTAAATGTTGATCTAATATAGGAACTAACACACTAAAATACTACAGGTGATTTAGCTACTAAGTTCTTGAAGTTATATAAGTTATCACAAAGAATATATTAGAAAAAGTATATACCATGCCAAGCAATAACAAGGTACTGCAGATGTGGTCCCACACTAGATGTAGTAAAAGAAAAATATTTACTTGAGAATTCTTCTGTATCATCATTTAGAAGCAAAGTGTTTATTTATGTCTATCAATAATTAAACTGAAAGGAAAAATAAAGTGTCCCAAGGGGTGAGAGATATGATTCAGTGGTAAAACACATGAAGAGGCAGGCCCTGGGTTCAATCCCAGTCCAAAAAAAAAAAAAAGGGGGGGGGGGGGGGGGGCTGTGGCTGTAGCTCAGTGGTAGAACACTTGTTCAGTATGCAAGTGGTCCTAGGTTTGATCCCCAAAATGAGAAAATAAATCTTTAGTCTGAAAAAGAAGTAGTGTGTGTGCATGTGTGTGTTTGTGTGTAGTATATAGATTACACTTTTAGAAAATGTCATAACATTATCAAGAAATTAATAAAGGGGGCTGGGGATGTGGCTCAAGCGGTAGCGCCTGGCATGCGTGCGGCCCGGGTTCAATCCTCAGCACCACATACAAAGATGTTGTGTACACTGAAAACTAAAAAATAAATATTAAAATTCTCTCTTTCTCTCTCTTTAAAAAAAAAAAGAAAAGAAATTAATAAAGGAAGCCAGGCACAATAAAGCACACCTGAATCTCAGCTACTTGGGAGGCTAAGGCAAGGAGGATTACAAGTTCAAGGCCAGCCTGGGCAATTTAAGGAAACTCAGTCTAGAAATAAAATAAAAAGGGCTGGGGTCATAGTTCAGTGGTAGAGCACCTGCCTAGCATGTGTGAAGCTTGGGTTCCATTTCCTGTACTGAAAAAATCTTTTTCTTTGGTTTTTTTTTTTTTTTTGGCCTCCAATTCCTTTTTGCGTGTCTGTGCCTGGTACTGTAGATCAAACTCACAGCCCCATGCATGCTTGGGAAAGGCTCTATCACTGAACTACAGCCCCAGTCATTTTTTATTTTGAGACAAGGTCTCACTAAGTTTCCCACACTGGCTTTGAACTTGTAATCCATAGGTGTGGTCACAGGTGTGTACCACCATGCTAGACAGAAAGAAAAATTTTTATTACCCTGATACAATCAGTTGTTTGTCAACTAATTTCCCTTAAAAATCAGTGAATTATGAAAGGTATACTTTACAGAAAATGTAAAATATTATGTGCTGCATTTTAAGAAGGTAATTTTTTTCCACTTTATTATGAAGTGAATTTGATGAAGGAGTGGTGTTAGAATATTATTTTACTACTTTCCTTGTTAAATAATACTTTAAAATAAATACATCTAATATACAAATATCCATAAAATACAGATTATATGTGTAACTAACACCAATTAGGGTGGGAAAAAAGTATCATTCACTCCCAGTATCTTTTATTAACATGTTTAGGGCTGGGGATGGGAGTTCAGTGGTACAAAGACTACCCAGAATGTTTGAAGCCCTGGGTTTAATGCTCAGCTCTGAAGAAAAAAAAAAAAATGTTTACCAACCCATATACAAGGGCATGTTTGCAATCTTCCATATCAGCTCAGCCAGTTTTTAATAAATTTCCATAATCACCAAGTAATACCGTGGCAAATTCTGTTCTTTGAAGACTGAGGAGAAACTGTCAATCAGCATCACAGTCTAATTCAAAAGACTCCGTAAAAAAATGTACCTTATAGGAAAATGTTGTAACTTTCAATAAGAGGCACTTTTTCTGATCTTACCAACTTTTCGATCAACATTCTTAGAAGCACAGCTATTTAGACACTACACCATTCCTTCAGATGATGTAATCTTAAGGGATGTAGTAATTTTAATAAGTGGCTTACTTACATCAGTATTTACTGACATGACTATCAGACAAACTGAAAAAGCTTTCTCACCTATTTCTAGTGTCTTTGTAGAAATCAGACACCCAGTATAAGAATACGGATGCTGAAAGCGCTGCTGGTCAATTCTAAGAGAATATTCACCACATTGACAAATCCAAAGGATAATGTACAAGAAAATGGAGAAATATTAATGGGTATAGCACAAATAAAAAGATACTACTCCATGCTAACACAACATAAGAATTACTGCAGAAACAGTTATAAGACTTTCTGGGTGCAAAAGAAAAAACGGAGGTGGGGGAAAAAAGACAAGGCAGTGAGAAAAAGAAGCTTAAAACAAAAATTATTCCTTTAAAGAAAAATCTATCCTAAATACTAAATTTTAAAAGTTCTGCTGTAACAACATACTGTCCATTTGGGAGGCCGCCCAAAACATTTTTTTAAAAATTATCATGTTACTATTACTTCAACTTTATGTGTGTGTGCATATTTATGTATATGTATATGAATATGAATATATATGCCTATACACTTGGAAAAGCCTATTATAATAATAACTATTTAGAAATGCTCTATTTAAAAGTAGGCCAACAATAGGAACTATGCTATTGCACAATAGAAAAAATAAATGAAATAACATCTAATAACATTCAGTGTTGATGGCATGTCTCTCCCATCTCCTAGAACATACTGTGACTTACAGTGTCTTTCCTGAACAATTTACCATTTCTCCATCCATGCAGTAGCTCAAATAAAGAGAGTTCCTGTGTTAATCCCACAATAAACCTCAGTAATTCTCACATCACAGTAGTTGTAAGCGTTTGTTAACAGAAAAAGAATGTTTTTCCCAAAATAGCTACATAACACTATGACTACTCAAATTCCTAAATAATCCTTTTACAAAACTCCTGCCAACTTTATTTTGATACATTAAACATGTGGAGCCTATTTTAAAAGCTCTTTAACTATGACTTTATCAAAACAGCTTCCTAGTTGTTCATGTCTTTCTTTTTTTAATTTCCAAGTTGTTTCAGAAGGGCTTGAATACTGACGAATTTGGGCTGCTATCAAATGCTTAAGAAGTATTTTTGCCAAATATGATGGGCAAACGTCCTAGATCTGCTAAAACTGACATTAGAGGTCATGCAACTTAAAAAAAGGAAGAAAGAAAAAAACTATTTTCCAACATTCACTAAGCCCTTCATTTAAAAAAATTATTTTCGTGCTATTTTTCACACTCTACGCTTAATGATACAATCCTTTTCTTAAGGAAGTTAGACTTAGTATTTAAAAAAAAAAACTGTTCTACCATATAAAGCTGGTCGGTCTACTCTTAATGAGCCTTCGGTTGATTCGGGGTACTGACAATAGCAATTTCAATTAAGAACTCCACTGTTAAAAAATGATTTAGGGAGGAAGTGAAGCAGAGCGCAGAGCAGGGCAAAAGCTTAAGAGGAAACAAATAGGGAAAGGTAGTGTTTTCAAATAAGGCATGCACTAAGAAGGGAAGAGCCAGTCCCGGGAAGCCCTAGTGCGCTCGTGAGAGATGCTAGTAGACAGAAGCACAGAAGGGAAAGCAGCTGACTTCCAGGCGTTGGAGCAAACTCTTCCCTCACCGCACCTCTTCCAGCCTCAGCCGCGAGCGGAGGCGGCGGCCGGGGAAGGGGCCTACCCAGAAGCCGGGCCTGGCGTTCCGCTCCCCAACCTCCGCGGCGGAGGCCTCGGCCGAAGCCTGGCGGAACCCTAAAACGGTCCGGGTGCCTCGGCGGTACAGCCGATCCTTTCCCCTCCGACGGACGCCCAGCGGCCTTACCTGGGGCGAGGGAGGCGAGGTCTAGGGCGTCTCTCTGGCGCCCGCCGCAGAGCCCCCGCTGCACTCAGCCCAGGCTTCCACCGGAGGCGCGACCCTGCCTCAGCCGCCGCTTTGCCCTCGGGTCTCGGCCACCGCCTCCGCTGCCTCGGGGGCTGTTTACACCGCCCGGCCCCTCACGCCGCCGCCACCACCTTCTCTCCACCCTACAGCCGCTGCCGATTCGGCCGCCGCCACCTCCTCCGCCGCAGCCTCGTCTCTCTGGAGCATCTTCCAGCCACCGAACCCTGAGAAACAGAGACTCCAGCCGCGCCGGCAGGAAACTCCCCCACAACTGTAAGGGGGACCAGGCGGTCAGAACACCGGCGGCTTTTCCGCCATTGAGCAGCAGCCGCTGGGCTCCTTCTGCAACCCCCTCCCGCACCCCGTCTTTCCCCGCCCCTTGTCGAGCCCCGCCCCCACATCCCACCCATTGGGACGCCGCGCGTCCTTTTGCGGTCCCCTATTTGCTGGTACGCCTGTCAATCTCTTTTCTCCCTCCCAGCTCGGCTCCCCTGGCGCCTCCGTACTTACTTTTCCCCGCCCACCCGACCCCGCCTCTGAGTTCCTAATTTCCCATTGGGCATCAGTGACCACCTTCAATTGGCAAGGTCAACTATCCGTCAAACACCTCCTACTGAGTGAGACCCAACCCTTCATTACCATTTACTTCATTGAGTCCCGCCTCTGCAGGGCACTACCTCCCGGACGTCAGGGACCAGCCCTGCAACCAACCATAAGTAGAGACCTCCGTCAGTCAAATTACTCCCACCTGTGCTCCGCCTCGCAGAGGCGATTCCAGCGATTCCCTTGTCTTATTGGTCCAAATGGTGGTGTGAACCCTCTGTCATTGGCTTTCTCTACGTGTCCGTCACTGAACCAATTTCCAAATCCGTCACACCGGCTCTTTTTAAATGAACGCGCAAAAAGCGGGGAAGTATCCGAAAAGCGACTGGCTAGTCTTCAAAAACGGTCAAACCCAGAAAATTTGTGCTGATCCTTCCCGTTCAACGAGGACCGTACTCCCTTACTGTTGACCCCTAAGCCTCGCGTAAAACAAGCGCCATAAAGGAACCAACAGGCTGTCCAGTTATAGGTGTGGAGGCCTAGTCCCACCCGGAATTGCAGGGGATTGGCTACTGATTGGCTAGCAAAGTCCCCCCTACGCACTCATTAGAGAAAATACACGCCTCTCTCTGGCGTAGAGACGCGAAGGGATAGCGCGGACAAGGACAAGAAGCGGGCTGGGGAAAGGCGGTTGTTTTGCTTCAGCCAAGGGTGGGGCGCACGCGGGAGTAGGAACCTGGGCGTACAGGACTCTGGGGAGGTGTTGCTGGGAGGGGAAAGGCCCGGATGTTCCCTAACAATGAAATCATCACGGGCCAATCAGAGCCGCTGAGCAGGGATACCTGCCTGACCTGTCTCCGCTAGGGGAGAGAGTGGGCGAGAAATTCGGGTTTCCGGAAAGGCGGGAAAACGAGTTCAGAAAATGGAACAAGTTCTCCCTTCAGGAGAGTTCTGTGCTGTTGGGGATTATTTTTATTCTTTCTTTGCCCCCAGTGCCGGGCATTCCGCCTTTGGCGTTTCCGTGTTTTGTTTTTCAGTCGGTATTGTATTTTAAAACTCCCGGCCTAAGCTCTGACATTCACTCGTTCATTCCATAGTTAATGCTATTTGCCAATCGCTGTAATGGAAACAGCCATAAACTAAAATTCCCTTTTCCCATTTCTGCAAGTTGGAGGAGGGGGCAGCATAAAGAAGAGGACATATGCTCATTTAAATCTCACCTTTCCTTTGTCCTCTTTATCGTCAGTATAGGATCATCCAGCTCTCAAAAAGTATTATTTAATGACTTATAATATATTTCCTTAAATCGCATTCCTTTGCTTGACACATCTTTTATAAAGGGAAGGGAGTCTGCGATCTCAGCTTCCAAACCTGTAGATCCGTATTGTGAGAATCTAGGCACCAAAACAGTTATCTTGCCCTGGATTTCTTCTCAGTTTTCTCCTGGTTAACCTCAAAACTAATTTAAAGTCCAATCACTAAATTGGGCTGATGCATCTCATTAAATTTTCAATCACTTTTTTAAAAGTATTGAATACTGTTTTAGATACTAAGAATACAACAGACACCAAAACATTGTTAGGTTAACTTTGTTGTATGCTTTATTTGAAATTAAGACCGTACACTATCAAAGAAAACCCAAGACTTACAACTTTAAAAGGGAAACTGATATATATCAAAAATATTTATGTGTCATATACATTGAGTACCATCATAATGAGCTTTGCAACTAACTAGCTTTGTGACCTGAGCTAGTAACTAAGTTCTCTGAGCCCTGGATTGTTCTGTAAAATGGGAATCATAACATCTTTCTCTAGAGCCAGATTAAGAGATTTAGATGCTTATAGTAAGCAAAGCACTACCCAGATATAATCTAAAATTGAAATAAAACTAAATGTAGAAAAAGGTTCTGATTTTTCCCATATTGTCTACAGTATAGCTGTTTTTAAAATAAGACATCAGAGATTAACTACTTTCCCCAACCACTTTTGCTGGTCCCAAGACCTTACCTGACCACAGGAAATCCAGTGCTACCAACTCCACACAATTAATTCAAAGATTTAATGGAATATAATGCACAATAGTACCTAATACAAGGAAGAGGAATTCTATTTTCATTCTTGTTATTTATGTGAAAAATATTATACTGGTACTGTGTGAGACCAAATCATACTCCAATTCTAGAACCTCCAATTCTAGAACCTCCAATTCTAGACGGGGCTTCTCAGAATCAAGGAATGATTCAGAAGACCGAGGAACCTCCTGATAGTCGAATACGGGTAGGTCACAGAGTGAGATGAAGAAAGATGGAAGGGCAGCTGGATATTGGTAGGGACAAGAGGTATTCAATACATACATGTTTGAATTTTAAGCCTATAGAATTGGTCTTTTCTGTATTTAAAAAAGTCAAATGTTAACAGCAAAGGAGACAAATGTTTACAAGGAAACCTTAAATCAATAGTTCCCAAAATATTGTCTGGGGACCTCTGAGGTTCCAGAAGCTCAAAACCTAATAATAATACTAAAATAATATTTAACTGTTTCACTCTCACTCTCTCACAAGTACAGTGTGGAATGCAGCTAACACATTAGTGAAACATAAGGAATGCAAAAGCAGATATGAGAATCCAAGTGTCCATAACTGTTATGCCAAATATCAAGGAGATTTGCAAAAACTGAAAACAATGTATTTTTTCTCACCATTTATTCTTTAAATATTTGTATTGTGATAGTAGGAGCAAATGTGACTCCATTTTGTTTTATGACTTCATCCTGTAAAACAACCCTGCCAAGTAGAAGGGTCATGACTGGGGCAAGATGTTCTTTTCCTTTTGCTATAGAAACCTTTAAGAACACGGAACTACCTAATGGGGCTCTGTTTCTGTAACTGGGGTGACTGGGCTGCGATTGGTTAGGCTTCCCTCCGCTTGACTACACTGTCCCGCTTCTGTAACCTGGCTTGCTTGCATTGGCTAGACCCCCGAACATCCCTTTTGCGGTTTTCAGGCTTATAAGGAGTGCCCTTGCAATTGTTCGGGGTTGTTCAGGGGAATAGCTTTATGTTCTAGTCAGCCGCCACCAGTGTGCTTCAATAAAGGCTTGATTCGATTATACGTGAGTAGTCTGGAAGTCAGTTTATGAAACCCTGAGACGAAGCTTTAACTGTAACAGTATGTTTCACCAAAAAAAAAAAAAAAAGTGTTTACGTGGACCCTCATAGATTTATTATTGTTATTATTATGAACTAATAAGTATTTCTTAATTTTAATACAATAAATATTTATAAATATAATCCACATAAACAAAATCTCCATGACTTCTTCAGTAAAGTGTAAGATGTGAAAGGAGGTCTGGGGTATATGTAGCTTAGTGATAGAGCACTTGCCTAGCACACATGAGGCCCTGAGTCATCCCAGTAGCAAAGAGATTCAGATAGCAAACTGAGAACTTTTCAAAATTATACACCACACAAGACTAACTCCAAAGGTAAGCCAGCTTTTTAGTCAGTTTAACAAGGCAGAAAGAGGGATGGCAGGTGGGAAAGAATTTCCTATAGGTATGATGCCTTCCTTTCCTATCCCTAATCTGTTTTCTTCCTCTTTACCTCATTTTAATTTCTTTTTCTGATTTCCTCTCCTTGCCCTCCTTGAATTCCTGTAAGTACTTTATTGTTCCATTCCTAGAACCTTTATCCTATGCTACATCTTGTTTATTTATTTATTTATTTATTTATGCAGGGCTTGAGATCCAACCCAGAGCCTTTAGAATGCTAGGCAAGTGCTTTACCCCTGAGCTACACCCTCAGCCCCATCATATATTAAATAGTAGGTAACTTTATTGCCCCAAGCTTCTTTGATTGGCACATGTATGAGCACACGTGCATACACACACCTGAACACACACATGTGCACTGAGATTCAGAGTTCAAAGAGATCTATGAAATGGACTCAGGGTTTTGAGACTTGGATGGTAAAGAAAATTGCATATTTATTTTTATTAACCTTTAATTGTCATTTAGCCTTTCTTTCAATTATCAATATAGACAACAAATCATATCAGCACTAGCAGTACCTGTGACATTATTGCCAAGAGAAATTACTGATATTTTCATATTATGTCAGAGTTGTTATAGATATTTAGAACTATCACTTAAACTTATCACTATTTTGAAATTATGGGATTTATTAGATCCACCACTAGATCTTGTTACTTAAGGCATTAATAAAGAAGCGTATATATTACTGTATCACAAGCTTGTTTGCTTAATGGTTTGATAACTATTTAAATAGTAGTTGGTTTCCTTTGTAATTTTAGGATTTTATTTTACGTATTTAAAAACATAATTCTGTGCTGGGCATAGTGGTGTATGGTACACAATAAATGCGCAATATGTATTTAGTGAATTTCATTTGGAGGATTTCAAACAGTCTGTTGAATGTTTTCCCTTTCCTCTGTGCCACCACCAAAGGCTGGGCCTGCCTCCCAACCCCACTTCCTCCTAAGACAGGAAGTTGATCAATTTATTACCATCCTCATGCAATCCACACACCCAGGGAGCCCAAAACTTCTGCCCTGGAGCCAGATATTCCTATGTGTTTTTACAAGTGAGTGTCATACACATGAGATGATTGAGATTATGATTACAACACCATGGGTGGTATCAAAAAAACTATTCACATGGGCCCAACTCTAAATGCTGCAAACTACAAAATGTTTAAATATGCTTGGCAGTGGAAAACTCTAACAACAGCCATTTATGTAAACAATCTAACATTTGTGCCCAAGTTCATTTACATTATTCACTCACTTTGTTT